ATTAGCCAACATTACAGGTAAAGGAAAATGTTTTAATATTTTACGTTTACCACTGGTATACTAGGTTGTAATAATAATTTTTCCAACGTTATGACAAATTAATTATGTACTCAAATGTACTCAAATTTCTATTGTTTATTAAAAATGTTATCATATTCCATTCCGTAGGATTAAATTTACTCGGCCCCCATCAGAAAATATTATGGGCCAATGTAAGTGAGGAAGAGTTGGAAGAAGATCAATCGCGGTTGGTTATTAAAAGACGGCATTTGATGGCCACAAGAAAAATTTTCACGAGATTCTTTAATCGAGCACAACCGTGGCCAAACGATCAAGTAAACACTGAGAAAAATATAGAAGGCATGGTGAATCCGGCCGAAAACGGAACCACGGTAACGCGTCATGACGAAACTGACAGAGTGACCGTTGTAAGCTCAATAGAGGACGTATGTGCGGCGGACCCGGAAAACCGTATTGACTTATCATCGAAATCCGGACTAGACAACGGTGTAGACCAGATTTCCAACTTCAATAATGACGCATCGGACATTGTGGCTGACGAAGTGATTCAAGCAGCCGACGACCCGAAACCGATTAAGAAAGAAACAATAGTCGAGCGCATTGCTATAGCACAAAGAGTTGATGGCCAGTGCATTTCGGTGGTAAACGAACAGTCGCATGGCAACGCTACCGTAGATGAATCGAAGACTACTTCTGTACTGCACAATATCGAGGATTAGAAATCATTACATTTTTTAAAATTATGAGTCTTAATAATATACCTATATTACTATTGCCATTTCTATCTCTTTTTCCTATTTTTTCGAAGTATTGTTAGCATAATTTTTTTCTTGCGTTTACATTTTTTCCGGTGTGGTCTCTTCGTATTGCCAAAGTCTGGATATCTGTTCTAGTTTATGCACATTATTTTCTTCGGAAAATGTGACAAATGAAAAAGTCGACTTATTCAAGTTTTTAGTAATGCTAAATACTGGACCACTTATCACGTAGTCAAGACGTGTTCTAAAAAGTATACACTATTTTTTACTGTCTGTATACGACCACTACCCGATAACTCAAAGAAAACTGTTGCTCCTTATATTATGTCTGTTTTTTGAGGCTTATAGTAATGAGGATCGGCTAATTTATTCCCTTCAGTTACGATTATATTTTAACGGTCAATGTATGCTAACGTAATATTATTAATCAATTTTGGTAAGACCAAGAATTCAAGTGTTATTCTATAATCGGAAGTTGCCCCTTTGATGTCGCTCAGCAGCCCGATAATCTTATCCAACATTACCTCGAGCATCTCATGCATTCCCGTCAACAGGTCATGAGTCCTTGTGACCTCTCCTGCGATCTTCCTCTCCTCGTCCTCCTCATCAACACCCCTTCTGGTCTCATTTCTCTTGTACGCTCTCTATTTCGCAGGGGGTTCATGCGTTGATGTTGTGCTCCTGGTGCCTCTTGTGGGACACGATCGGGAGGTTGATGCTTTCTTATCGCTCCCTGCTGATAGACTTGTGCTGAGAAGCTCAGCTCACACGACAGGAGGAGCTATCATGCTGTCAGAAGACAGATCCAGGTCCTCAATGGCGGCATCCATGTTCTCTGAGCTACTGTCTGACATGACTGTTTTGATTCTAGTGCTCCGAATGTTCGGTCGATTTTTCTTAATCTTGTACTATCGTTACATGAGTCTTTATTCTAATCATCGTCGTCTGAGTCCGTTCTCCTTATTTTCAACTTCTTTCAATTTTGGTAATACCAAGAATTCAAGTGTGATTCCATAATCGGAAGCTAAGGATTTTATTTTGGCGTTTACTACGCAAAATGATTTTT